ATGTGGCTGGGACGTACATGAATGTGCCCTAAACCGAACACCATGTCTAGTGTAAGAAGGAGCCAGAGAACCCTTGGAGTTATGTAGTGCACAATGTGCCCAACTGTATGCTTCAAACCCTGTAGTGCATGGTAGGCAGAGCCAGAACTGAGACTCAGTTCTGTTCTCGCGTCCAAGTGCTCAGCGGTGAGTCCCAGCTACCCCATCTGCAAGTCTCCTAAGCTCTCTGCACCTCGGATTCATCTGTGAAATGGGACCTTTCTGGCTGGGTCACTGGACAATCTGTGAGGTGAGGCATTAAAGCTAACAGACTTGAGTACGAATAGACCTCAATACCGACGAGTGGGTGTTTCTGACATAAATGGATTTTGTGGGAGAGGAGAAATAGTAGAGGAAGGAACGTGCTGGAAGGCAGTGTTCGTGGAAGGGCTGCCCTGTGTCCAAGGGAATTCCATGGACCTTGTTCAGTGCACGACCCAGCTGGGGATCCTGGGCCCAGTGGAGTCAGCCACTGGACCAGTTAGGGCAGGGAGGGTTTCTTGTCAGAGGAGAGCCACAGGCTGACCCCATCTTGGCTTCCAGGTTACCCAGAGTCCTGGGTACCCTTTTGATAAAGGTCAGATAAGCTGGTGGCAGAGCCCCTCCTCCATGAGGCTGGCACATTAGAAGATCCAGACTGACCCCAAGTCGAAGTCTGGCCAAGTTGGGCGCCCCTGGGCAGGACAACCCATCACTGACTAAGGAGGACCAGCCCGGAGCAGAGGAGGCACCTGGGGTCAGCATCAAGGGACCTGGCTCTGGGCCTTAGGGGGTGGGTCTCCTGGTCTGTGAAATGGGCAAAGATCCTGCCTCGAATAAGGGCTTTGAGACTTCACTGGTCTCATAAATGCCGGAGCTCCCTGTATGCGGCTGCTGGGTGGGACTCATGCGGGTGGAGCCCTGCATCCAAGGGCAGGAGCTTGGGGCCGAGGGCCACAGACAGCAGCACCTTGCCCCCTGGGAGCCACAGTGCGATCTGAGACCCCTGTTCCTGGCTGGGTGGGGAGACTGTCACCTGGGGACAGGCAAGTTTTCAAGAGCAGGAAAAACACAGGGAACTGTTCTGGGAACTAGTTAAACCCGGGAGGCGGCTCCTGGGGCTTCAAAGCCTGCCCCTGGTGGGCGAGTAGGGCCTTTGTGGGGGGGGGCGCTGGGGGCCGTGGAGGGGCCCCTGAGACGGTGCATTTGTTCCCACAGAGCCTTCATGCACTCCTTGCTTATTCATGTGTTCTCTCGCTGCTCCCTGCTCAGTGCTGTGGAATGTGGGTGTCCAGGCCATGGGGACCATCAGAGGGACACGCCTTGGGAGGGGTCATGAGGGGCTGTGAGACCCAGAGGGGTGAGAGCGGTCACTGAGCCTGCCAAGTCAGGGCAGTCTCCCCAGACAAGGTGTGCTGGCCCCGGCTTGAAGGATGAGGGAAGGGGCATTCCTGACAGAGGGAACGGGAGTTGGGGGTCTGGGGGAGCGGGGCAGCAGGTGAGGCTGCAGATGCAGATGGAAGCCAGATGCCCAGGTCCCTCAACACACTGATAAGATGTTGTCATCTGGTCTGCAGGCTGTTTAGCATTATGGACAGATGGGCACAGGTGGGGCTTTGCGGTCATCTGCAGACGGCCCTCCCATCCCAGTTCATAGCTAACCACTGGGTTAGACAGGTGGGGGCTTTTCTGATAGAATAAGGGCAGTGACCTCAGAGTTAAAGTAACAGAACTGGGTCTCAGTCCATGCTGTGCATTATGTGCTGGAGGGCTAGTACATACAGTTGGGCAGGCTGTGCACTGCACAACTCCAAGGGAAGCCAGTCACACTGTGATCTTTGTTAAGAATGGTTTGTGCAGTGCACAGCCTATCCCTGAGCTCTGCGGGCGCAAGAATGTTGGGGCGGAGCCCAGAAGCCCAGCTTCTCTCCCTGCCGCCCCTGGTCCCAGGCGCTCCCATCCTGGCAGTGCCCCTTCCTCTCCCCGGAGGCGCCACAGGACACCTGGCCTTGATTGCTTCGCCCTGTGTCAAATTCCTCCCGACTAGAACTTCCAAAGCCTGTGAATTACAGTTTATTTTTGAAAACAAAACAAAACAAAATGCTAACAGCTGAATCTGGTCGGGACTGACTGTTGACTTCAGAACTTTGGCTGGAGGATGGGGTGGGGGAGGGATTGTCAAAACCCCAAATAAACAGAGTCTGCTTTCCAGCCGTGGGGCCCAAGGTTTTCATGTGGAAAGAAGCAGTGGGAACCGAGTCCTCCCTGCCCACTGATTCATGGGGTGATTCATCTGTGTGTGGGGAGGAGGACCAGGAAACAGGCACTGCCCCGCCCCACCACCCCCCTCCCCACCGCCCACCATGGTAGGTCTGCTTAAAGAGACAGGACCTGGCAGGGCCCAGGTCCCCAGCTGACTGACCCTGGAGCCCCACCCGGGTGCCCCAGGCCCTGGCTCAGGTCAGGCTCAGGCTCTGAAGTCCCTGGAACTTGGCTCGAGGCATCGCTGGGCTTCCCTCTGCCCCATCCGCTGTCACCCCGGGCTGTGCCTGGCTGGTCACTTGAATGCCCCACATGAGAGGGCGTGCCATGGGCAGGGCATTGTCCTGGGAAACCCTCCAGGAGGGAGAAATTCATTGGGCTGGGGGCCTGCCTGGAGGAGGTGGGATTTGAGTTGTTCCCCCAGACAAGCTGGAGCATCTTGCTAGGGAGCAGTGGGGAACGGTCTGTGTGGGTGAGGCACAGGGAGGCAGGTGATGGAGCAGAGACTTAGAGTAAATGGCCCAACGGGTTACACAGAGGGGACGGGGGATGGGTGACATCTGACGTGGCCCTCAGGGACTGCCCACCCCAGCACAGCATGGTGGGCACGCGCCTCGGCCAGGGTGAGCCCAGCACACTTGGGAGAGGTGCAGACCCTGCCAAGCGCCCACCCATGGAAGGGAGAAGGGCCTGGGGCAGGGATCCTCTGTGCCTGGGGCCACAGGAATGACCTGGTGAGGAGCGTGCCGGTCCCGTCAGAGACCAGAACCCGGACAAGCCAGCAGTTTCTGCGACTTGTTTCCTTCCCTTCCCTCTGCCTGGAGGCGAGACCAGGATTTGGGCTCCCAGGGGCCTCGGGGTAGGGGGATGGAGCTGGCCTTAGCCCCCACAGCTGACGGGTGGCTTCGCCTGCAGAGTTTCGGGGCAGTCCTGCGTGGAAATCAATGCGTGGGACAGCCCCTGGGGCCCTTGTTACTGTGAGCCCTGAAGCTCAGATCCCGCCCCTCCAAGGGTTTTGCCAACTATGGGGGAAGGCTCCCAGGCAGGGTAGGCCCTGGCCGCCTGCAGTTGGGTGGGCGAGGGGCTGGCTGGCAACAGGTCCCGTCTCCCAGACGGGCTCCGGCCACCCCCGCATAGGCCGCCTTTGGTTTAGGCTGACCACAGTGGCCTGGGCCCCTGTGTCCTGAGTCCTAGCTGAGAGGCAGACATCACAGAATTGGTGGGTGGGGCCTCCTTTCCACCCCTCACCTTGGAGCCTAAGGGGAGCCCTCTCCTGACCCACCCAGAGTCCCAGTCTGGACATAATGGGGAGTCGGGGCATGGGGCATGGGGGGGCACGGGGGATGGGTGAGGGGCCCCTAAAGGGAAGAGTCCCCGGCCAGAGTTCACAACATGCTTCTCCAACTCGACCTGCATCTTCGGGCAGGAGATGCATCTCAGTGAGCCACACGGTCACCCCGCCTTTGACGGGGAGGCAGGGACCCCGGCACTGGCTCCCTCAATGTGGGGAGAGTGGTCGGGATGTGGGGGGCCTGCGTGTGCCCACACATGTTTATGGGACACACAGGGTGGGCATGCTCACCAAGCCTCTGGACAAAACCAACAACTAGAGTCTCACTAGATCCTCATGCCTCCCAGAGACTGAGAACAGCCTCAGCTGCGGAACTAGGCTTCGCAGGCTGAGCCCTGCTGGCTCCCCCACACGGGTGCTGGGGGCATGGTGGGCCCCCGGGCAGAAGCCTCACCCCTGCAAGTCACACTCATGCCCAGTTCCCACGGGTCAATGGGGGCGGTTGGGGAGGGGGGCATCCTCCATTTTGTTTTCAGACCAGCAGTCAAGGCTCAGAGAGGGTGAGTGGCTTGCCTAAAGCCACACAGCTGGAGGCAGGGTGCCCGGCCAAGCCCAGCACGTGTCCAGCTCCAGCCGTCCGCTCACTCGGGGACCAATCACAAGGAGAGCCGGGCAGCGTGGGTTCTGGGGGCACCAGTCTCCGCTGGGGACCTGAGAGGCCTCGGCACATATCCGAGCCAGGGAGACCAAAGGGGTGTGGGCCCCGTGCCACCCACATCCCTCAGGCCTGCGGTCCTGGCAGGCGCTGCCCCTGCTGCTGACAGCAGCAGAAATCTGAGCCCGCGAGGGTTCCAGGGGAGTTCATGAACCGCCCGGCAAGTCGCACTGGGGCATGGCCAAGTTGGATGGGGGGCCCTGGCGACTCAGACATCCGGAGTCCCGCAGGGCCCAGGAGGGGGTCACGCTGTGGCCAGACTGGGGGGCGAGCCAGGGGCCTCTGCTGGACCCTTGCCTGATCACTGCTCTAGCCCAAGGGCTGGAGGGACGGGACGGGCCAGAGCCGCAGGGGACGAGGGAGAGGATGGTTGCCTCATGCCACGGCACTGCTGTCTATCTGAGAAAGGGGCAGGGCCCCGGGGGCTGGCTGAGATCTAGCTCAAAGGTCAGAATGTCAGGTCGCAGCTGGCAGCTGAGGGCGAGTGTCCCAGCCCATCCGGTGGCATCAGGGAGGTAACAAGAGGGAGCTCAGCAGGAAGGCCCCTCCTGAATGTCTGGGTGTCACTGTGCTGCTGAGTGTGGGGTGTCCCTGAGGGGTTCTGAGTCCAATGGGGTCCTTCCTTGGTGGAGTGTCCCCCCGGGGTGGGGGTTCAGGGTGCTGTTGGCGGTGTCCATGTCTCAGTGAGGTGCCTGGTTCTTTCTGCTAGTGCAGGTCTCCACCAGCTGACCAGCCCGCGGTACAAGTTCAACTTCATTGCGGACGTGGTGGAGAAGATCGCGCCGGCCGTGGTCCACATAGAGCTCTTCCTGAGGTGCATGAGCCCCTCCCAGCAGCCCCCCATTCTAGCCCTAGGGCGGGCGAAGCCAGGTGCTCGTGGGGTGGGTGGGCCTCGTGGCTATCTCCAGCTCATGTGTCCCTGGGGAGGGACGCCCCTCTCTGCCTCTGGTCTGCTCACCAAGGGGAGCCCCCCGGGCTGCAGGTTTGCTAAACAAGGGTGTCCCATGGGGGAGGGGAGGGGGTGCGTGTCTGAGCTGGGAAGCGCCACTGCCCTGGAGCCCGATCAGCCGCGGATTCCTGGAGTCTCCTCCCAGTGCAACGTCTACTCCCCAAAGAGAAGACACGGGCAGCAAGACGTCTCAAGAGTGCTGCTTCCTTCTGGCTGACCTCACGTGTTGGCCCCTGTGTGCGAGGAGGGGACCGCCAAACCACCCCGATGAGGCACGCGGGGTCTGAACCCCTCCACGCTGATGGGGAGCAGAGGGAGCCAGGCCCACGTGCCCCAGAGTGGATGGTCACCCCGCAGCCTCAGGCCAGGGTGCTGGGGCCTTGTGTGTTTACACAGCGCTTTCCCTGGGTGGTGGAGGTGGGCTGGTGTTGTGAGGCCAACACTGAGGCCCAGGGGCGTCCCTGGGGGGGGCGGTGCAGGGCAGTGGGGCAGAATCACTCACGCCCTCATTGCTGGCCCCAACACAGGGCTCCCTGCTCACTGGGCGTGGCATTTGCGCAGTGGGAGCCCTTGTCACGGGGCATCACCGCCCCCCATCTCTGGAGGGCAGGGACTGTCTTCACCCCTGCTGGTGCTCCACGGGGCCAGCAGCCAACGCCACAAGCCCCCCGTCAGAACAGCAATGCCCTTGGACCTACTGTGTGCTCCTAACCCTGGTGGCTGCTGTGCCAAACTGTGTCCCAACAGTCTCAGTGAGTGTCCACCTCTTAGAGGAGAGAGCCAGGCACAGGCAGGACTCACCCCAAGTCAGGACCAGGGGGGTCCAGCCCTCCGTACTGACTGACACCCTGCACTCCGAGGCCCTTTCCGCTCTCACACATGGCTAGGTTCTCATGCTAGGCTTTAAGGTTCCCATTTCCTGGGTGGGGACCCAGGGCTGGGGGACCCAGAGCTGCCGAGGGCCCAGTTAGAGTTTGACCCCAGGTCTCTCAGGCCCCAGAGCTGACCCCTTCCTGCCCTTTCTGCAGGCTCCAGACCCTGAGACATGTCATTGAGGAAATTACAACTGGACACACTAAGTGGCACGTCCCTGGCCTTGCCAGTGGCTCAGATGGGGCCAGTATCTTTCTAGAAGGCTCTGGGCACTGGGCTCCAAGCCAGCTAATTGCTGACTACAGCCCAGCCTGGTCAGATGGCGATGCCTTTGCCACATCAGACTTGGAGGCCCATGTCCCAGGGGGTGGGTGGGCAAGACCAAGTGGGCCAGATCCCAGACACAGATGAGATGCTCACGGAGCCTGGGAGCCTCCACTGTGACCCCTGACCTGAGGGGAGGAGGCCGCTGGCTGCCTCGGGCCCCTCCTGCAGACAGTGATAGCTCCCACCGTGGGCGCAGGAGGAGGTCAGGTGCAGCCCGCCCAGGGCCACACCCAGAGCTGGGCGAGGGCAGAAACTGAGCGCAAGTATGCACAGAGGCTTGGGTCCCCCCCGGGGCCTAGTGGCCAGGCTGCCTGACCCAGCCCAGTCCTTCGTGTCCCAGGCCACGGCATCTGCACACGTAAACACATGGCCTGCTCCCACATAGGAGGATCGTGATCATTAAATCACTTGTGTCTGGCCCGGAGCAGTTGGTGATGTGAGCCCATCACTGGTCCTGCCCGCGAGGCAGCCTTTCTGCACTCCCTCACTTCCCTGAGACATCGCCCCGTCTCTTGTTCTTTCTCCCCTGCACAGTCCCAGGCCCTTTGGGCTACCCTTTCTCCCTCACCTCTGCTAAGCGGCCTCAGGCACTGAGGACCCGCTCCATCCAGGCCCCTCTGGAGTGGTGGAGAGGGTCCCGAGCTGCGCCTGGTGTCCCTCCTTTCTGGCATCCTGGCCTTGGCCCGGGGTCCTCTTGGCTCTGGGGAGGCTCGGGCATTGTCCCGCATCCATGAATTCTGACCTCAGACCTTTGGATCCCATGAACGGAAGCAGACGCCTGTCTACCTGTGTCTGAGCGTGCACCCTGCCTGCCATGGTCCAGTGTTCCCTGCCCTGAGTCCCCTGGAGGACGGCGCCGGTGCAGAATTCACGGAGTGGAGCCTGCCACAGGCACTGGGGGAGCACACTGGGATGGCACACCCTGCCCTGTGCCATCTTCTTCCTGTGTAGGCTGATCTGTCCTCCCGCCCGGGAAGTCGCCCCCGTGGGGACCTGCCGCAGGACAGCCCCCGCAAAAGCTACGTGCCCATTAGTGCCAATAGCCGTCCTGTTTGCTGAGTGACTTCCTGCCTCCAGGCATCACACTCAGCAGGGTACGGTCCCCATTTCCTAGCTGGGAGACTGAGGCCTGCCCCAGCCACGCAGATAGTAAGTGGGATGGGCCCAAGATTAGAGTCCCGGCCTGTCTGGCTCCGGGGCTGAGCAGTCAGGGCTGAGCACGCCTGCCTGTCCCAACAGGCCTGACGCGCATGGGCCTCCATCTCCGCCCAGAAAATTGCAAGTCACAGATGGTCGTCCCCTCTGGCTGGCTGTGAAATGGGTCCAGGGGTCAGTGAGCTGGCCAAGGCCACAGCTGGAGGTGGCAGAGCTGGGGTTGGCCCCGGGCCCGGAGACTCCAAACCCATGATCTCTCACCCGACGCTGGGCTCTGCTCCCCAGCAGCTGGTGCATGGCTGCAGCTGGCCCCGCGTCCGGGTCCCCTAGTTTCCTGCGTCCAGGTCCCCGCGTCCAGGCCCCGTGTCCAGATTCCTTCGTCCAGGCCCCCGCCCACCCTGACCGCCCGCCTGTGCTTACCTCCCCACAGACACCCTCTGTTTGGCCGAAACGTGCCCCTGTCCAGTGGCTCGGGCTTCATCATGTCAGAGGCTGGCTTGATCGTCACCAACGCTCATGTGGTGTCAAGCACCAACGCTGTCTCTGGCCGGCAGCAGCTCAAGGTGCAGCTCCAGAATGGTGACAGCTACGAGGCCACCATCAAGGACATTGACAAGAAGTCGGACATCGCCACCATCAAGATCCACCCGAAAGTGAGTGTGTGGGGGGCACCTCCCCAGACCCCAGGGCCCAGAGCTGTGTCAGCCCAGCCTTCCTGGGGGGCACTGGGAGGAAGGGGCCCAAGTCAGACCAGAAACAGGGTGTAGGCCCCCCACCCTGCTTCGCAGAGCTGCCAGGTACAGGCAGAGCTGGGCTGCCGTCCTCCCACCATTTTCACAGGGATGCTCTCCAAGGCCCAGGGACGCTCCCAGTGTCCCTCCTGGGCCCACTGCGGGAGATGCCACTGTGCCTGCATGGCCACCAGAGGCTGTGGAGAGCACTGGGACATAGGCCCCCGTCCCCCTACATCCGGTCCCCCCAGCTGGCTAGGCAGCCCCCAGCAGGGCCACTGTCATCCCCCATCCGTGCCACCGGCTGTTCCAGAAGGTCCCACAGCCCTTGGCAGAAGGGATGTCAGTGTCCTGCGATTTCAGAGGGGAAACTGAGGCTCAGAGAGGTTAGGCCACTGCCCAAGATCATGCTGACCTAAGACAGAGCTTGTCCAGTGTCATACTTAGGACCACTGGACAGGGCCGCTACAGGCCGCCCCCGCCATGAGGTCGGCAACCCGTGGGGCCGTCTGTGCTGGTGACTTTGGCATGACTGACCTTGAATCTGGCTTCTGCTCTTTCTGAATGAAACCGGAGAGTTTTGGTGATAATGAATCGTTTATGAGGAGTTTCCTTCTTACCTGATGGAGGGAGAGGAGATTTACCCCAACATGGACCCTTCCCCACATTTGACACTTAGACAGTAGTTACTGAGCCGGGGAACACCATGTCTGTTCTAGGGATGAGGGCAGTCAGGCTGGGGGGGACAGTATGCTCAAGGACAGGCGGTGGCAGTATTTGCAGTGAGGCTCCAGGTAGTAAATGCTCCTGGGCTTTGTGGGGCCTGAGCACTATGTGGACACTTCCCAGCTCTGTGGCAACCACAGGTGATACAAACACAGGGTTGTGTGCCAATAAAACTTTATTTACAAAACACCCCAAGGGCCACAGAATGCAGCCCCCCCACCTCCCCCACCGAGGACCCTGGGTCTGGCTGCCCCTGGGTCTCTCCCGTTCCCAGGGCTGTGGCCGAATCCTAGGGCGGGGTGCACCCCGGCCATCCTCGGGGGCCACAGATGCTGGTGGAATCAGTAAGGCCCATGCACCCTGGTGCCCGCAGGCACCATCAGCAGCCAACACTTCTCCTCGAAGCAGGATCTGCCTCTCGGCCCCTGAGCCCTGCGTGGGCCTCCGTTACCCTGTGTCTATACTGGGAGATCAGGTTGAGCTGGATCAAAGATTCCAACAGTAGGGTTCCATGTCCTCACCTGGGCTCCAGGCTTCCTGCAGGACTTTCAGTCTTATGCTTCAGTCTGTGTGTGATACGTTTTGGATGGTATTCACAGTGCTCATCAGATTTCAGAGGGACCTGTGACCACCAAACCACTGGGCTCCATCACCTCAGAGGCCATGCCCAGCTGGACCCCCCGGGCACCCTCCCTGTGTGTGACCCCTACAGCTGCCTGGGGAACCCATGGTCGGTCACAGAGCAGCTGAGCCCCCATTGCAAGGACCCTGGCCTGGGTCTCTCCTACTGTGGGTCAGCTGGAGGCCAGCCCGGCCTCTGTCTGAGTTGGCAACTTGCCTTGGCCTTGGCCCCTGACAGCTCTGTCCAGCTGCTCCCGCCATCCTGGGACCACCCCGCTGGGGGCCTGGCGTCGATCTGGCTCTGGCCCCAGTGAAGGCAGACAGCTGAGCCTCCCTCCCCCTGTCTCCCCTCCAGAAAAAGCTGCCGGCACTGCTGCTGGGCCGCTCAGCAGACCTTCGGCCCGGCGAGTTCGTGGTGGCCATCGGTAGCCCCTTTGCCCTGCAGAACACCGTGACCACGGGCATCGTCAGCACGGCCCAGCGGGATGGCAAGGAACTGGGCCTCCGGGACTCAGACATGGACTACATCCAGACGGACGCCATCATCAACGTGAGTCCCTGTCCCCAGAGACTGACCCATCACTCAGCACTTCCGCTCGCTGCCAAGCTCCTTCTTTATGTTCAGCAGATCTCGGGCTCCCTGTGACTTCTGCACTGGGGTGCCAGGTCTGCCAGAGGGGTTAGAAGCTGCTGCCCTGAGCTGGGACATTCAGAGATGCAGAGAGCCTCTGCCCAAGTCACCCCCAAAACCCCAGCATTCCTTTTGTCGCTGTTAGTATCGTCACTGTAGCTCACAGAGTGCCCAGCCTTGTGGTTTTGCCGAGCTCCGGGCCCTTCTGGAAATGAGAGCCTTTGCAGAGGCCCCTCGTGGCCGAGCCTGGAGTGAGCCTATTAGTCTATGCAGGGCGCACGGGTCACCCCACAGCCGTCCGTGTGGCCTCTAGGGCCTCAGCTCCCTTACCTGTGAAATGGGGGTGAAGTGAGGCCTTTCCCTGCCATTAGGGGTGAAATTCGATGACCCATCTCTGTGCCGGTTGGTACGAGGGTCAGAAGGCAGAGCTTCAGGGACCTTCGGGTGGGCTCAGGGCTCAGCTCACATCAAGTTTCCTCCCCTTGCAGTACGGGAACTCCGGGGGACCACTGGTGAACCTGGTAAGTGTCCCCAAGGGCAGAAGCCTCTGTTTTTCTGGGGCTCTGCTCATATGACAGCACAGCCTCAAGGCAGGGATGGAACCCTAAAGAGGGGCCTTGAATCTGCACACCCAGTGGCTAGGCTGGAGGCCCGGGAGGAGGACGTGTCCCCAAGCACATGCTGCCCTGGCCCCCTGGGGCCCCCAGAGCAGCTGGGCTGCCCAAGGAAGGAGGATTACCCAGAACAGTGACCAGGCAGGGGCCATGGGCTCAGCAAGGACCTGGGGCAGGGGACACACGGGTCAGGGCTGCTCACTGTTCTGGGTCCCCCATCCTTGCATTTACGTGTACGTTGAGGGGTATCCTTGTCCTTTCCCAGTCCCCTTGCCACCCCCCCGCCCCCGCAATGATCCTATGTCCACCCTGGGTGCCAGGTCAGGCTCATTCTCATCCCAGGTGAGATTTCTAGAATAAACCAGGTCAGAAATCCGTTCAGCTCCTGGGGCCCTGAAATCTCGTGTGCCATCCCCACCCCGGGAGCTCCTGTCCATGCTGCAGCGTGTCAGATGTGAGCATGCCCGCATGACATGCGGAACAGTGAGGGGACTCTGGAGGAACCCAGGCAGGGAGGGCTTCCTGGAGGCGGGAACACCTCATCTGGGCCATGGAAAAGGGACATGCTGGAGAAAGCGAGTCTGGGGAGAAGGCACAGCAGGAGCGGGAGGGCTCAGAGGGTGCTTCACCCTGTCCCCAAGCAGCCTGCAGGCGCTCAGCGGGAACCACAGCCCCAGCATGGGTGTTCTCTGTGCCTGGGCTTCATGCTGGAGGACGGAAAACGGGTGCACACCAGGCTGTGTCTGGTGACCCAAGCTGTGGCCTTGAAGGGGTGCAAGGCAAGTGCGGGGTGGGAGGCCAGTTCCTGGGGGACAGAGAGGGTGGGGGGCTGGGGAGCTGCCCTGGCCACACGCCCCTAGCCCCACTTCTAGAAGGATGGATGAGAGACGCTCCAGTCCCAGGGGCCTCATCACGCCCTCCCTGGGTTGGGGGTGTCCTCCTCAGTGGGCACTGCTTGAGGGGCAGACGGTGAGCTCCCTGAGCCAGGGAGAGGATGGGCCGGGTTTAGAGGGAGAAGTGAGGTGAACCCCAGAGGGCCTTTCCAGAACAGCTTCAGCACTGCCCTGGGAGCCCCTCCTCCAGGGGCAGTGATGACCAGCTCGGCCCTGGGAGCCGGGGGTGGACACGTTACTTGGTACTCGGGCTCCGGGGTGACCGCTCCTCTGACCTCCCCGCCCAGGACGGTGAGGTCATTGGCATCAACACGCTCAAGGTGGCAGCTGGCATCTCCTTCGCCATCCCCTCAGACCGCATCACGCGCTTCCTCGCAGAGTTCCAGGATAAGCACGTCAAAGGTAGAGTGCTGCTCTGGGGGCTGCTGAGGCTGGGGACCCCTTCCTTTCCTGCCCACCCCATGCCTGTCCTGAAGTCCCCAGAACCCCGTACCTCTCAGCTGTGGCCTCTGTCTTCCTCCCCTTACCTCTTGGCCCCGGGCACCCCTGTCCCTCCCGATGCTCCCTTTCTAGCGGTGAAGGGAGGGGTCTCCCACCCACCTCCCACCTCCAGTGGCTTGGGCCACAAGGCTCCACTTCTCTGGGCTGCTGCAGACAAAACTGGTGTGTCCTTTCTTCCTCCCTCCCTCCCTCCCTTCCTTCCCTCCCTCCCTCCCTCTCTCCCTCCTCCCTTCCTTTTCTCCCTCCCACCCTCTCTCCTTCCTTCCTTCCTTCCTTCCTTCCTTCCTTCCTTCCT